AAATAAGACCTATTTTTCAAGCCCCCACTCAGCCAGGTACCGTACCAAGAGTTTTATATTGACATGTTTTATGCAGTCTATAATCTAAAATGCCAGTATTTACACTGAGAGGCACACCTCTCCAGGAATCAGAATATGTGTGTCTTCCATGTAGAGCAGGTTTGGGGCAAACTCCTGCCCATGAGTCAAGCTTAGCTTGCTGCTTTGTTGGAGCACAGGCCAAATACGTTCTTTTCTGTATGGTCTGTGATTGCTTGTGCCATGAAGACGGGGAAGTAATTAGGCCAGACTGTGTAACCCAGCCGTGAGCAAACTACGGCCCACTTGTAATGAATAAAACTAAAAAAAAAAAAAAAGACCGTACCCTTTTATGTAATCATGTTTACTTTGAATTTATATTAGTTCACACAAACACTCCATCCATGCTTTTGTTCCGGCCCTCTGGTCCAGTTTAAGAACCCATTGTGGCCCTCGAGTCAAAAAGTTTGCCCACCCCTGGAACCTGACCCACAAAGCCTAAAACATTTACTCTCTGGTCCCTCATCTGAAGTAGTGATTCACATCCGTGGCCACATTCTGGAATCACCTAGAGAACATCTGAAAATGTAGTGATGTCTGCCTTCCCCTCCCAGAAATTCTTACCTAGTCGGCCTGGACTGGGACCTGGGCACAGGAGGTGTTAAAGGTTCCACAGGTGATTCCACCTGGCAGCCAAGACTGAGAATCATGGCTTGGTATTTGTGTTTGTTTTACTTTCCACTCCACTCTAATTCTGCTCATTTGCATTAGGCTGACAAGCACTCATCTAGGGCAGTAGTTTCCACATCTGGATGTGTATCCATCACTTGGGGCAGTTTTTAAACTAGTTTCCAAGACCCCACTCCAGACTGACTGAATTAGAATCACCAGGGACTGCTTTAAGTTCCTCAGGTGGTTTTGATATGCAGGCATTTCTTTAAAAGAGGCCTGAACCTAGGGCACCCTGTTCTTTAATAGCAAGAGTTTGGGATATTGATTGTATAACTAGAGGATTATTTAATGAGCACAGGAGTGGAGAAAAGGGATTTTTTGAGGCAGTGTAATGCAGGTTGTAGTGATCCTATTGAATAGTCCAGACTTATAGAAATATATCCTCTCTAGTGATGACAATATTCATTTCCATTAGTTATGGTATATCTACCCCCCCCTTGCACAGTGCTGCTTAAAAAGGAGCATGTTTTTCCTTTCTGTTTCTCTTTTTATGGACTTGATAAGAACAAGTCATCCATTAATATTCTTTCTGCTGATAATCAGATACACAGGTTACATTATGGGAGATTAGATGATAGCTTTTCCCCAGTTCTGTCTTGACTGTATACCCCCATCAGCTGGTGTGTTTCTCTAGTCCAGTGATGGCGAACCTTTTGAGCTCGGCGTGTCAGCATTTTGAAAAACCCTAACTTAACTCTGGTGCCGTGTCACATATAGAAATTTTTTGATATTTGCAACCATAGTAAAACAAAGATTTATATTTTTGATATTTATTCTATATATTTAAATGCCACTTAAGAAAAATCAACCAAAAAAATGAGTTCGCATGTCACCTGACACGCGTGTCATAGGTTCGCCATCACTGCAGTCTCTTCAGCATCATTTTCACTAATCATCTCATAGGATAGTCACTTTGGAGATGGCTAAACTCACTCAGGCTATATTTTTACCCTGGGCCACCTCAATCCAGTCCCCTGATGTACTTTACTACATCTCAAATAGTTTTTGCTCAACTGAGAATCATCTGTCAATCCTTCAAAACAGTGTCATCTGTGCTCTCTTCAGTTCAGATGAAATGTGCAAAATCATGGAATGCTGAGCTGGAAGGGAGTTTATTACAGACCATCTTGTCTAACCTCAAAAGGGCAATACTGTAGGTACTTTAATTGGGTACAGATCGTGCTAACGTGTTCTTTGAGGGACACCTCATGCTCCAGCTGACACAATTCTTGAAGCTGGGTTTATAACCTGTCAGGTGTCCCCCTAGCTGTGATTGCGTAACCAGAGGATTATTTAGTGAGCACAGGAGTGGAGAAAAGGGCCAAGTCCATCCTGTGCAGTACTACTGCTTGTCAAATCACATCTCTCTGGGACTTACCCTATTTGTCTGTAAAATGAGGAAATGAATTGCTCTATGCCAGTGGTTCTCAACCTTCTGGCCCTTTAAATACAGTTCCTCATGCTGTGACCCAACCATAAAATTATTTTTGTAGCTACTTCATAACTGTAATGTTGCTACTGTTATGAATCGTAATGTAAATATCTGATATGCAGGATGGTCTTAGACGACCCCTGTGAAAGGGTCATTCGACCGCCAATGGGGTCGCGACCCACAGGTTGAGAACCGCTGCTCTATGCTATAGGTTATTAAGAGGATAAAATTAGGTGATATAGAAATACACTTTGTAAGTAGGAAAGTACTTGTACTTTTGATTTGGGAAGAGCAATGCACAGGAAGGAAAACAACAATAAATAAATCTGAGCATCACTCAGTTCTTACATGAGCTCCCAAACCTAAAATGGTCTTGGAAATAAGAACTCCTAGCACTTTATTTGTATGAGAGGGAGGAAAGGAGAGAGAATGAGAGAGAGAAAGAAACATTGATGTGAGAACACATATCCCATACGCTCCCTTAACCAGGTGTGTGCCCTGAGTGGGAATGGAACCCACATGGGATGGTGCTCCAACCAACTGAGCCACACCGGCCAGGGCAAGAACACCTCGTATTTTAAATGATGAGTGCTGTTTGCTGGTTAAGCAATCACTATTTTTCCTATAGGAAAAGCCATAAGCAGTGCTATCAAACAGAAGACTATCTGCTTTCAAGAGATTACAAAGAAGTTAATCAACTAGTTGTGCTTCAAGGCATTTGTGTTATTACATATGGTAACTTAGAAAATGGGAGATATTGAAGGACCTGTGAAAATACTCTCAACTAATTTAAAAAGCATACAGGCTACTATATTTTTCAATTTACTTGCAAGCTGGCTTGACAAGTATAGCATATCAGTGGTTACTCTCCTGATGCATTAAATATGTGGCTTTAAATTATTTTTACAAGTAAAAACAAAATTTTGTATTTGGTTCAACAAACATTTATTGAGGATATAATAAGGTATCAGACTGTATCTCCCCTCAAGATGCTCCTTGTCTGGTAGGGGAAACAAACATTACAAAGCCCTGGAAAATGCTAGGATGGAAGGAGACACAGAGCTGTGGGCTCTGCGGGACAGTGGGGCCGGACCAGGGTGGACACAGGGAAAATGTCAAGGCTTCACAAAGGAAGCAACATTTTGCTGAGACTTAGAAGTTTCAGTGTCACCAGGGAGGGAGGGCAAATGGAACAGCGTGTAAAGGATGAAAGCATGTGGTGCTTTCAGGGTCCAGGCCTGGGATGGGTGTGGGCCAGTAAGAAATGGATACCCTTTGACAGAAATAAGGAATGAAGACTGGTGCTATAATATCACTTTACTGACCGATTGACTATTCAGTTTTTACATTTCTTTAGAAGCAATTTTATTTATAATCTGATTTTTCTAATTACCCTTTGTTGCATATAGAAATATTATCATACCTGTCACGGATGAAACATATTAGGAAAAATGAAAACAATGTATTCTTTCAAGAGCTTCTATTTTAAGGATTTTGCACCTGTTAAAAGCTTTTACTATCAATAGTACCTTGATGGGCTCTATAAAACAAAGCACTACCTAATTAGAGGTAAAATTATAAATATTTAAAACTTCTATTATTATTTTTCCATTGAATGATTCATCATAATTTTTGCCAGTTGTCCTTCAAAATCCTAGAGAGGTCAGAAAGCTGTTTTATAAAGAAACGGAGGTTTCAGTGTGAGAGACTGGAGTATGCCAGGGAGGTTATTGTATTTGATCATATCAAGTGTCTTAATCCCTCCTGATACCGTTAAGTTTCAGTTTCTTTTGTAAATCCCAAAAGGGCAAGTGTTTTGAGATTTTTTCTCTGTACCGGAAACACATCACACGATGTTCATAAAGTGCTCGAAGTGCGCGGACCTCCAGGCGCTGGAGTGTGGCTCCTCTCCTTGCTCGGGCCAGAAACAAGACATAACCACTGACTGTCCCTGAAGCACTGACTGAGCTGGGTGGTACGCCTCCCGAGTCAGAGTGCATGGCATGAGCATTGCTTTGAAATCACAATGAATCATGGGTCTGATGTGTCTTCACTGGCATCTTCCTGGATAAGAAGTTCATTGCTTCTCTTGTTCCAGCTGCTACACTTGACAATACTGTACAAGCAAACAGGACATTTAAAAATTGCGACTAAGGCAACAGAAATAAATAGTCTGTATTCCACCTTTTCCCTGGTTACGCGGCTTCTGAGAAATTATGCAGATTATGCATAGAAAGAACATACTGGTATTTTGAGTCCTACAGGCTCATTTCCATAGCATTCTGAAAAGAATTTAAAAACTACATGAGTTCTGCCCTAGCTTGTTTGGCTCAATGGGAAGAGGGTCAGCCTGCAGGCTGAAGGGTCCCAGGTTCGATTTCGGCCAAGGGCACATACCTCGGTTGCAGGCTTGCAAAGGCAACCAATCAATGTGTCTCTCTCACATCGATGTTTCGATCTCTCTGTCTCTCTCCCTTCCAGTTTCTCTAAAAATAAATGGAAAAGTATCTTCAGGTGAGGGATTAACAAAACACAAAAAAAAACTACATGAGTTCTTTCTCTTCCAGATCCCTAAAATGTGCACGTGGCCCATTGTCTACTCCGTGTGGTCCACAAAAAATAATTATGACCAAAACTATGACTGAAGTGCATGTTCAGTAGCTATAAGTGAAGTAGGACAAGAAGCCATCTAGAAATAATTACAATAGTATGTAATTTTCATTTTAAAATTATTGAACAGTACAAGGTTAAAAAAAATCTCAGAAGACCACCCACAGTATTAGAAGCATTATTGAGAGGATAACTACCTTTTATCCAGCTGCACTGATTTTTCCTGTTATAAAAGTAATGTGTTCATAAGAGAATATGAAGACTAAAATGAAAAGTACCCACTATTCTACTCTCCATGCAGGCAATTCTTATACTATTTTTCCTGATATGGATGCACCATCTTTAACCATTGTACATTTTACTTATTTAAAAAAATTCTGCCATAATGAACTTCTTTATATATAAGTCTTGGCATTACTAAGCATTTCCTTGGGATAGGTTTCTAAAAGGAATCACTGGGTCAGATATTAAGAACTTTTAAGAAAGCTTTTGATACATGTTTACGAATTGTTTTCTGACAATGAGAGTGCCGAATAACATTACTACCAGCAGTGTATAAGGTTGACTGTTTCATCATGTACTTTTAATTTTGCCAATAGGCGAATAATTTCTTTTTTAAAAAGATGCCTAGTAAAAATCACTTTTCATCAAAATCACAGAGGAACTGTAGATACTACTGCACCCTGTATTACACAGACTGAGGGATCAGAACTTAATTGAAACACTATACACTGTGGTCCTACGATGAATGAGACATGAGCCAGCCCTCTAAGGAGTTCACAGCCCCGGGAGAATGCCTACAGCCTGTGCACATGGGTGCTGTCCTCCCGTACCCACAGCCACCTCCCCTAGTGCAGAGGAGAAGGCAGTGATGCCTGAAGGCTGGGCCCCAACTTCTTCTCCTGAGGCCTCACGGCCATGCTATCACCACGTGGAATGGGCCAAGCCCAGCAGAGACAGGTGAATGAGCTCAGAGCTTAAGGCTTTGGCCCCAGAGAATGTGTCAAATATATCTGCTTGGGAACGTTAGCAATCACTTACCTAATTAGCTTATACTTTTTTGTTAATTGAAAGGCAAAGGCATATGTTTATGCCTCTATCTTTTCATTCTATGTACTATTCATCAAAAGCATTTTGTACTTTGTATTTATTTGGATACTGACAATTAAAAAGGGAGTCATTAAACAAGCCAACTCTCTGGAAAGAGAATTCCTAACATTCAGTGCCTGCTATCTGCTCGTCATCATCCAAGAATCCTGATTAAAATATATCTTACAGTAATCTTTGACCACCAGGGGACATTACACTCTAGGAAATCATAGTCTGAATATATATCTATACCTAGCCTGAGATGCTAATTTAATCAATTGTTCATATTTAAAGAGATAGGGCCAACTTCTCAGAGTCTCTATCTGACCCAATCTTTCTTTCTCCTAGTTCTGGTCAATATGTCACTGTCTCTTTTTTCCTAAGTCTCCAAAATTATTGATAGATATTTTCATGTCTAAATTTTGTGAGAAATGTACATTTTGAGGCCAAACTTCAACAGACCTATGTACTTTTACTGGTGAGGCTATGGAATTCATTTAATTCAGCTATCCTTTGATAAAATGATTAAAAATAAGTACATACCATAGACTGATCACTGGAATTAGTAATAGACCAGCAGACAGCAGAAAGGTGAAGCCTGTGTACCATGCAACAGTTGCTGAATAAATTCCATTAAAAGTAGAAACTGCAATGACTCCACCAAGTGTTTCAAAGAACGCAATACAAGCAAACAGAGTCCCTGTTTGGGGGTGGGGTACAGGGGGAGAAAAAAGAAAAGACTGTGTTACACAACAAACAAAAACAAATGGAGAAAACTGTTAGTCATTGATAAGAACACACATGAGGACATACTTGGTGAGTGAAAGCTATGCCCTCAAAATCCCTGAGAAGACAGTAACCCATTTTGTGGGTGAAGAAACTGAGGTCAAGAGTGCTCCTTGGACTTGGTGTGAGAGATGTTGAAAACACAATACAGTTGACCTTGAACAACACTGAGATTAAGGGCACTCTCCCTCCTTCCCCTACAGTCGAAAACTTAACTACAGTTGTCCCTTGGTATCCACACACCATTGGGACCAGGACCCCTGTAGATACCAAAATCCATGGATGCTCAAGTCCCTTATATGGAGTGGCCTAGAACAATGCAGAGTAGTTCCAATGACAACAGGATAAAACTAAAAGTTATCACAATTCAGAACAGGAAATTGCAAAATGTGAACTAACCATTTTCAAATGTCACTACATTGAACAATATGAAATGACTTTTTAAAAGCCTTTATAAGTAAATGAAATAAAATATAAACAAAAATAAACTATGCATCCTGTTAAGTCTCTTTTGGCTCTAAGTCAAGAAGTAGACTTTTCTTTCCCCCCTCAAACAGCGTGAGATATAATGCTCTGCTTGCCCTGCTTGTACCATAAACCCACTCTTTTAAATGGTACAGTTCAGTGGCTTTTAGTGTGTCCATGGAGTTGAGTAACCATCACTACTACCTAATTTTAGAACATTTTCCTCATCCCAAAAAGAAACTGTACCCATTAACAATCACTCCCTTTCTCCCAAGCCACTGGAAAGCACTAATCTAAGTTCTATCTCTACAGATTTGCCTTTTCTGAACATTTCATATAAATGCAATTATATTTATATGATGAAATGTGGCCTTTTGTGACTAGCTTCTTTCATTTAGCATAATGATTTCAAGGCTCATCCCTGTTGTAGCATGTGTCAGTACTTTATTTCTTTTTATGGCCAAATAATATTCCATTGTACTGATATACCACATTTTGCTTATTCATTCATCAGTTCACGGACATTTGCATTGTTTTTTCTTTTTAGCTATCTATAATAATTAAAGTGTAATATGCTAATTAGACCTGATGACCTTCTGGATGAAGCCATGGTGGCGGGGGCCGAGCCCTTTGCACAAATTTCATGCATCAGGCCTCTAGTTATAAATAATACTGCTGTGAACATTTGTGTTCAGAATTTTATGTGGACATGTGTTTTTATTTCTCTTGTGTACATACCTTGTAATAGAATTGCTGAGTCATAAGTTAACTGTAACTTTCTGAGGCGCTACCAGGCTGTTTTGCAAAATGGTTGTATAATTTTACACTCCCACCAGCTGTGTATGAGGATTCCAATTTTTCCACATCCTCACCAACACCGTCTTTTTTATTTGGGCTATCTTAGAGTTTTGATTTGCATTTCCCTAATGCCTAATAATGTTGAACATTTTTTCATGTGTTTATTGGCCACTTACATATCTTCTTTGGAGACATGTTTATTCAAATACTTTGCCCATTTTCCAATTGGTTGTCTTTTTTGCTGTTGAGTTTTATGAATTCTTATATATTCTGGATATAAGTGCCTTGTCAGACATATGATTTGCAAATATATACTCCCATTCTGTGGGTTGTCTTTTCACTTTCTTGATGGTGGATAAAAGGTTTTAATTTGAATAGAGTCTAATTTATCTATTTTTTCTTTTATTGTTGTGCTTTTGGTGTCATAATCACTGCATAATTCAAGGAAGCAAATAGAATTTTACATACTAAAAAATGTTTATGTTATTAAGTTTTCCACTTATCATCACATATTCTATAAACAGCTGTATGAATACACTATACAGCTATATCTTGTGAGTGAAAAAGAATCAAGAAATTTGTTTTTAATTGATTGAATTATGCAGCCTTCCCCAGTGTTGACTAACCTGCCATAAAAAGAATAGTGTAATTATCAATTATTCATAAACAATTAATATGAACATGTGCATCAGGCTAAGACATGAAACAAAAGAAAAGTTCCAAAGTTCAATGATTTCCAGATGATACAAAGGGGAAGGGGGACAACTCCATACACCTGACATTTTACTAGTAACTAGTTCTAACTAGAAATTTAATTTCTGTTTTCCTTTTGTACTGGTTATTACCTGTCTTCCCCTTCAACTGTTTGCTCTTCTTGCCTTCCTTGTACCTGTGAGGCTCATTCCACAAATTCTATGACTTGGACTTCCTTGATGGCCCAACTTCCTATTGCACTTGGTTAAGGGGATGAAGGAGGAGAAAAAGGATGTGGTGTTCCTTCTCTGCTCCCTGTGTATTTGGGCCACCCTGTGAGATGCCTCCTCATGCACACTTCTCCCCACTGTATGTCATTAACATCTCTTTAATGAACCACCTGAGTGGAGTCCTGTTTTTTGCTAGGACTCTGATTCAGACCCAGCCTAAGAATACAAGTAGAGGCCTACATATTATATTTTAAATATTTACAGGTTATAATTCTGATTAACAAACTATTAAGTAAGATATGTTCTGCCTTCCTACTCTAAGAAATATACCTTTGCAATAATTTGGAAGGTCAGTCATAAATTCAGGATTCTCAGACTTTTTAGGATTCCATGTAGGGGCCTGACAGCTCTGGGAGAGCTGGCCTTTGGCCTCCGTCCCCAGCTGCAGGCGGCATCCCACCATGTGTTCTATCTCTTGCTCCACGCTGCTCAGCAAGGGCCTTTTACACATGGCTGCATACACCCTGCTCTGCAATTCCAATGTCAGGCCAGGTCTCCTATGAAGAGTCACTGCTTGGCTAACCCTTTGGTCTAAGGTGAGTACACTGAGGTCACAGTCCTACTCAGGAGAAAGGGCCTCAGGAAGAGGATTGTGTAGGCATCCCTGGATATGAGCCCCGAGCAGTTTGGCTATGATTATGGGGACCTAGGTACCCAGAGTGTACTCTAGAGGAGAGAGATGATGTGGGCTCAGAGGACATGTCCACCTGGCCCTGAGGTCTCTTCTCCTCTTGGGTGGGGCCTGGCAAGAGCAGACCTTCTAAAGTATGAGGCCCTTGGCAGGGGCTCCCTTGTCTGAAAAGAAGCCTCTCCCTCACACAGAACTTACCACTTAATTCAAAAGGAGTCTGTGCAGTCCTGGCTGGTTGCTCAATGGATAGAGCATTGGCCTCTGGACTGAAGGATCCTGGGTTCAATTCTGGTCACAAGCACATACCTCAGTTGCAGGCTTGATCCCCAGCTCTAGTTGGGGCACATGCCCGAGGCAACCAATCGATGTGTCTCTCTCACATGGATGTTTCTCTCTGTCTTTCCCCTTCCCTTCCACTCTCTCTAAGAAACAATCAAAGGGGGAAAAAATATCCTCAGGTAAGGATTAGAAAAAAAAGGGAGTCTATGCAGAAAAAAGGCTATAGAATACTCTGAAGCAAACACTGATTGTGCATAGATTTGAGATAGGTTTTGATTCATTATATTCCAAATTAAACTCACCTTGTTCAGTAGAATGAACCACTTTTGACATCATAGACCGTAGAACAGAAAGCGGCACAATAGTGAAGAGGAAGAGCAGCCTGACTACGAGAGAAATAGTTAGAAATCAGAAAACAAATGGTCAATTTTGTGTAAAACACTTTTTAAGTATTTTATTTCTATTTGCACCCTACGTCATTGCATCTAAAGACTGAATGAATTATAGAAGTCTACTTAGTGAATTAAGATGATAGACTATAGACAGGTCAGTTTAAGGTGAGTTTACTCTCAAATTCTTAATTCCAGTGCTAAGAACAAGAGTTCATGGAAGTCTTAGGTCCAAATATGCCAATGGAGATTGATCTGCTATTTCCCTAATTATTGTAGTAATCTCTTGTGTAGCAAGTTGAGACTGTTAGTTTTTTCTGGTTGCTTTTTGTTTTTGATTTTTCAGAGTTGGCATTTTTAGTGTTAGCATTCTTTTATTATATTGTTTCTTTTATTGATAAATTGGTTCTTTATCTTCTTGCTTATTCATTATTGTGACTGAAAAACTTCATGGACACAAACTGTACCTAGCCATAAATTATGACCCTTAATAGTCAGTAGTATTTTTAGGAATATAAAATAGTAATATGTTACATTTGCAGATCACTTTAAAGTTTTCAACATTTTCCACTTAGATGAACTAACATAGTTGGCCTTGTCAACTCTAAGGGAGAACTAGGATTTATTGAATACCAGGCATTGTGCTAAGTGCTTTACTGTAATCTCTTCTAATATTCATTACAATCCTTTGAATTAGGTAGTACGATGCCCATTTTACAGGTGAAAAAAAGAGGGTTCAAAGTATTTAATTAACCTGCCCAAGATCACCTAGTGCTAGAGATGGAAATTAAGCCCCATTCTGTTTGGTCACCCTGCTTCCCTGCAAGGTATCAAGAGGATGACACTGCCTTTTGTAGAGGTACACAGACTCTATCTTTCCAGATCCCAACTTGCAGGTCCTTTAGTCCTTTTGAACGCAGTATCTCACTCAAGCCCTACAAAAACCACTTAAGAATAGGTTATTAGAAAGCAGTCCAATTTGCCAAAACTGGTTCATCAAAAGCTAATTTATGAAATGACCAATTTGTCAAAAGATCAATATGAAAACCCTTGTCATAGAGAATTGTTTTTCTTGAATGTATTTAGTAAGTATGAATTTTTCTTCTAAATCTGTATACTTTATATAATTGTCTTAACATTTTTTAAAGGTAAAGTAGCCTTGTTAGCAGCATTTTAAGAAATACTAAATTTGGTGAAAGCTATATTGAAGAAGTAATTCATAAGAAGAATGTTCCTCAGAACAATTATTTTGGAAAATATGAAAATTTGGAAAACTCTGGTTATTATGTGAATTACCTTTTCAAGCAAATTGGTGCTCCGCTTCTGGAAAACTAGCTTTTAACAAATTACCATTAATTGAAGTAGAATGCATTAAACAGAGAATTTTATATTATTTCTCACCCAATAGACTAAATTCATTTGATATAAACTCCAAATTCACAGTTAGTTCTAAGGCTACATTTTTAACTCACCTAAAAGCATCATCAATGTTGTTTTGGCAAAAGCAGTCATAGCCATTCCCACCATGGTGGTAAAAATTCCAATGAAGGCCATGTAGATATCTTCCATACAGTAAGAAAAAAACCATATTCCTAGGAAACTACTCAAAAAAGAGATACTACCCAAAGCTGACCCATAACCTATAAGAACTTCATTCCAGCAGAGTGGTGAATTCAATTCATAGAGGATAAAAATGGGGGAAATGCCAATTATCACAAAAAAATAAGTGATCATTGTGAAAAGTAACAAACAGAGCAAAGACCGCTGTCCACTGTAAGCATTTTTAAAAAGCATGTAAGTTCGGTAAAATAGGTTTTTAAAGCTTTCACTACATGATATGGAAACATTCTGAGATAAGGACTCCTCCAGTGAATCACCAAGAAAAAATAAAATATAAATCAAGTTAACAGTATGAGCCATAGTAATAATGAAAAAGGACCACACAAAACCCAGTTCTCTAATAAAATAGCCAGAAGACAGTCCTGTTAATCCAGTAACAAGTCCAAGTATGAAGTCAATGATAGCTATTCGAATTGTTCTTTGTTTTTCTTCTTTACATTGATCAACTATGTAGGCGAAACTGGCACCCAAAAATGTGGTAGAGTTGCCAAAAAGTGCCCCAATGAAGGTAGATGCAATCAAAAGCTGGAATGGAAAGGTGAAATAGGAAAGCAAACAGAGCCAGGCACTGGTCACAAGAGCGCCAGCAGAAGTCAAAATCAAAGGGAATTTTCGTCCATGATGATCACTGTGGGACAGAAGTATGAACGTGGACACTAGACCAGGAATTAACCCACTTATGTCCATCTGCAGATTAAAAAGAGACACTTTTTTCTGAACTTCCTGCAAAGAAATAAAAAGAAGTCAGTGTGTTTACAGAGGTTTGTATAGTGCATATAAAAATAGCATGGTGTATACTACACATTGCCATAAGGTCAGGTATGGGGAATCTGGTGTGTGGGCTTACACAGCTAAAATCTTCATCCAGTTCACAAAGCACATAATCATCATAGCTCAGTCATAACATTCAAATTCCAATAAAATTAAAAATGTGTGTATTAATGTGTCTTTGTCTCACATAGGGAATCCTTAGACCCCAAGGCCTTGGGGACTGGCCATGTAATGAGTTTTCCTTCTTGTATGAACAATTAGCACTGAGAGATCAGATTTCTGTTCTAACACCAGAGCAATATCCTTTTCCGTGATATGTCTTTCTCTCTGCTCTAACGGGAGAGTGAATAGCATGTGTAAATGTGATATTTCATAGACTTTCATTAGGAAGAGCTTCAACGTCCTCTTTACATGTGTCTCCACAAACAGACTAGTGAGAAGCATTCCTTTCTTTACTAAAAATTAAGGTAAAACCCAAAGAGGAGCTTTGCACTAACTAAAAATGGAAGCATGCGGTAAACTGAGGAATGAGATAAATTCAGCTCTTCCAAGACCCCAAACGACTATGTATACACACAGACTGGCAGCTGTCACAACTGTTACACTAGTTATTTGGCAGAAAGAATTTAGGGTGATTTAAAAGCATTTTCTGCTTGCCACTTCTCTGTATTTTCCAAATTTTATATAAAGAATATGTGTAATTTTTATAAGGGGGATTACAAACTCATTAAAATATTTATTCATGTAATATTTAGAAAGCACCCTAAACAACTGATGAACCACAAAACTGTCAAATACTGAATTAATTTTTTAAAAATAGTAAGCCTATTTCTATTTTTACATATTCATGTAATTCAAACAATTCCAGGTGTGCAAGAAATGTTCTTGTCATTCAGACTCAAAACTTAGTCATTTAGTTTTAGCCTTTCCTTTACCTGTGCCCCCCTGGCACAATCTATTCTGCCCACCCCGTTTCTCAAGCCTTTATCTTTCTTTATAGTCATAGTTGCCAATGGAGCAACAACTCTCATTAGTGTCCGCCTGGACCACTCTGTCATCTGCCTGGTCTCTTCATGCAATTCAGTAAGTGTGCTAGTCTTCTCACTTTGCAGATCATGGACACTCTATCAGCATGTCTTTCACCTGCCTAGAAGCTTCACGACCTCCCCCGTGCCTGTGAGAGAAAGTTGACACTCCTTAGTCTGGTACTAAGGCTGCCAAGTCCAACTGCACTTTTCAGCATTGTCTCTACTCACTCCCCCGATACTCGGTCAGTTCCAGGCACAGTCCAGCTTGGATTTCCCTGAGAGCCCCAAACAGATGTAACCTCTCCTTCCTCTGAACCTTCTCTCGCAACAATTACCATTCCCCAGTTGTACTTTTTGGCATAATGATTACAGTTGAACTCTGGTGGCAGATGGTAATATGAATCTGATTCATACCCACCCCAACAGAATGATCTTCACAGCAATTAGAATGATCTTTACAAACACACATGAGCTCCTGTCACTCCTTTGTTCAAAATCCCCTAATGGCTGTCCTTACACTGGAATAAATCCAGCTCCTCGCAGTGGTGTGGGTGGCCAGAAACTATGACTCCTCTGATTTCATCTCCACTTCCTCACTCCTCAAACACTCTATGCTAATTTGCTTTTGCAGTTGCTGTTCCCTCCACCTGACTGTCACACAGCCCACTTCCTCAATTCAAATGTCACCTCCTTAGAGGGCCTACTATGATGGCCTTCCCCTTCAAGGATATTCCACTAACCCCATCAAGTGCTCTATCCCCTTATCTTGCCATCTGTTTTTCTTTAGAAACTTACCACTCCCTGACAGGACATATTTTAACTGATCTACTCATTGCGTGCCTCCTCCACTGTAACCTACACTCCAGGAAGGACAGAGCTGTAACTTCTTCGCCACAGTGGGTTGCAAGTTCAATTCCTGGTCAGGGCACGTGCCCAGGTTGCAGACTCAATATCTGGTAGGGGGTGTGTAGGAGACAGCCAACTGATGTTTCACCCGCTCTCACATCGATGATTTTCTCTCTCCCTCTCTTTCTAAAATAAATAAAAACATCTTTTTCTTTAAAAAAGGTTTAAATATAAATTGTTGAGCAAGAACAACTTTGTGATCTGTTGGTAACCCCAAATTGTCCCCTCCAATAGCAAAGTCCCTATCTTGAAAGTTATCTGAAGAGAACAGATCCCCCAACCCCGAAAAAGGAAAACAGACCCCAATG